ACTTTTTGGTGCTGCTGCAGGTACATGCAACTCTTTCGCACATTTCTTCATTTAACATCTTTGTAGACTTGGCGAGCTCATTGTTCCTTCAGTTAACATGTTCAATCCCTCTCGTCACATCGTGCGCTCTTCCAATGTTAGTCGCAACACGGCAGCTAATGGTGTAATGTTTTCGGTTTTTCACATCCCATGGATGAAGACAATGCACGGAGAAGGTGCGGATATATGGCCACAAAAGTGGACAACCCAACCAACCCATACAACGTGCTAGTTCACCACCTTTCCATAAACTCTTCAGTCCCTTCTCATGTGCCATTTTTCACATTTGAAATGCCCAATGGTTGGTCACCTATGACTTGAACGTGGTTCATCACGCACTGTAGCAATATTTGGGCATCCACAGGCCTCCCTTTGCTGACAGGTCACTGTTTTCGGATCGGAGGCACAATAGAACTTTTGTCATGTGGTACACCACCTGATATTGTAGCAGTGCAAGGTCATTGGAAGTCCAGAGTATTTTTAGAGTATTAGCATCGCATTAAGTCAATTCTTCCTCTTTTTATCACCAATTCATTCAATAGTTCACATATTTCTCTTGTACACTCCTCCATGGACTCATTCCGTTGTAATTACAGTTAATTCAACATAATATTTTTTGATATCTCGGAAGATCTCTAGTTGGGGGACACAGTTTTTGACATGACCATTTTAGACTTAAACTCTCTGCTACAGTTTTAAATCATCACTCAGCCCATTACAGTAAAGTCTTATAGTTTTGGTCATTGAATTTACCACAATCATACCTTGATCTTAATCTACACTTGCATCAAACGCACAAGCATCTCCTCACTATTCTTGTGTGTCACCTTGACTCTTTCAGCTCAACAAGCATTTAGTAAGTGTACTAATCTCACATTGCATATCATTACCACTATCATATCATCCTTGCTTCAATGCTAATGTTTTTTGTATCGCACTTGATACTGCCTATCACCTGTGGCATGGGCCCAGTGCTACTAATAGTCTGCACAGTACTATATTTAGCAATGGTGAGATACTTCGGGTAGCGACAAATGAATTCTTGAGTCAGATCAGCAGTGCTGTGTGGTACTATGGCTCCACTGCACAGGGGAGACTTCACTGTGATGCTGTAGTCACTGTATAGTATTGTGTGATACTGCACATCACCTCAAATTGTACAAGGGTTTTGCTGATGCATTTAGATAGAGCAAGAAAGACTTGTATTGTATGCTACATAAGTAAATTGACATTGTAGATACCTAAATAACAATCAAATCCTAAGGCCTTTCTGGTACATCAGCTCCCCCATTGAGTTGCAAGTGTAAAGTCAGGGATCCCTCCATAAGTCACCAGATATTGGATGTCCTCTAAATAGGCAAGGACTGTCCTCAAGAAACAGGAGACTGAATCTGCAGCATACCTTTCAGGTGAGACTCTGCAAAAATTCAGTATCTGGTCTTGTGCAGAAATAGTACAATTGAGTAATTTTTAAACTTCGGCAATTGGTGTTTTGATTATGGAGATGTCAGCCTTGGTTAAAGAGTTCTCTGGCATATTCTTGATGTAGGCACATAAGATGCCATAGATAAAAGTGGAGGGGTTACTAATCTTTGCCAACATTTTATTCTTGATCTCTTTAATGGTGTATAAGCATTCTGGAAGGTTATATCTGTTGGAATTTGGATCTGGTTAATATTTGATTTCATTTAAAACTATTTATAAATGAACTTATGGTTTGTCGCTTTCATCATCTGAGTCCTGGAAATTGTCACTGCCAGCCTGTGAGTCAGACTCATTTTCCTCACTATGACACAAAACTTTTGCAACAGCCTTCAAGAAGTCTCTTACAGATTTTCTAGCTGCTTGTGATTTCTTATTGTTGGAGGTCCAAAGCTCTCTCTGGTTGCTCAAAATCATTTCTCTATGTCTTCACCATAATCAGTCAGGAACTGACCATTAGTAACAATTAATTAATGTAGGACATACCAAGCATAATAGTGACTACACTTTTCATGTGCAGCTGCTAATTTTACCTCAGGAGTTATATGAACAAGTAGACAAACTATATTAAGAGACTTTCAGTATAGTAGTAGTGGTTGAAAAAAAGAAGCAACCAACTATCACAAAGGTACTGGGATTCACTATGGTAGCACCAAAACCCATATATCATAGTATAGTATTTAGTATATAACTAGGCATAACCTACTTATTAGGACTGTGCACAAAGGGTAGGACTGATTCAAAGGGGCTTGGCTCCAGCTCATGCACTGCACCCCTTACCCGAGTATGTACCCTTAATTTCAGAATGATGTCTGGAGAAAGTCCAAGGAAGTCCGGAGGACTTCCGGATGAGCGTGGAAAGTTCAGAAGGACTTTCCAGATGAGTGCAAGCAACTTCCGGATGAGTACAGGAAAGTTCCAGAGGAACTTCCAGAAATTACCATGGGGTTTCGTCCTGATACAGAGATGTGTAATGGCTACACAGGACAAGTCCTAAGTAGAAGCAAACAGAGGAAAGGCTGCAAGGACAAAGTCCAAAGCAGAATAGATCCAGAGGACAGCAGGAAAGTTCTGGAGGAACTTCTGGAAACTCAGAGGAATGGAGGATCAGAGGAGTGGAGGATCAGAGGAGTGGAGGAGTGAAAGATTAGAGTCTAAAGCTATGTGAGGCTGTGGACGGAGCATGTAGAAAATAGTAAATGAAGACAGAGATGAGAACATAGGAAAATAAAGCCGGAAATGAAATGAGGTACAGAAAATAAGTATAATCTAACTTGAGAAGAAACGTACAAAGGGAAAAGGCATGGAAGATAAATGCAGGTCAGATCTGGATGTTCGAAAGTCCGGAGACAGGTGATTACCATAAGGGAATGAGTGCTGATTTAAGGTTTGGGTTTGGATATGAAGCATAGGTCAGATCTGGAGATCTGGAGATGTAGATATCAGATCTGGCATCCAGATATCAGATACAGGAGTACAGGAATCCAGACAGATAGAGGATTGGGTCTAGAGATATGGACAGGAGGTCTGGAGGTCGGGATGAGGTGTGGGAACATCGTCGGATGTTGGTTCGGAATGCGGGATATGATATTAGGGCGATAGGACAAAGGATGAATGATGCAGGCTAGCTGTGGAGGTATGGAGGTCTGATGTACGGAGGTAAAGGGATCTGGATGTGGATGTGCAGATGTGGATGTGCGAAGGTGCAGGGATCCAGATGGGTAGAGAACTGGAGACATGAATAGGGCGTCTGAAGGTCCGGATGAGGCATGGGAATATTGTCGGATGTGGGTCCGGAATACAAAATATGATACTACTGGTCAGTCATAGGAATCTAGTGAAGATTTATTAATCCCTCTTTTGACTCAAAATTATCGACAGATAGAGGTCAAATATGACACTCAGACTCATTGTATTAACACTACACTGGAAGCATGGATGACTTTTTCATGGTGAAAAATGTTGAAAAGATACTAAAAAAGGTTAAAATAAATTTCACAGTTTTGTGACACCCAAAATGTTAGATAAAATTTAGGCTTTTTTTCCACTTCTTCATAATGAAAAATATTGATCTCGGTTAAATATTGTGTTAGCTTTCATTCACAATATTGCAATAATAAATACTTGAACAATTCAAACAATTTTTCTGCAGCCAAAACCTAGATAGAATTTTGACTTTGTACCCTGACATAAACAAACTTTTTCATGACTTTTATCATCATTTGTGCTGACACAAAAGTTGGTATTTTTATTATCCTTTTCCCAGCATTTTTGTTACCATAATATCTTGGTCAAATTTTGACTTTCACATGAGACAATATTTAACATAGTGATCAAACTTAGATTATCCTTTGTTCCCTCACTGAATCTACCTTTGTTCAAGATTTGAATAGACTGTTTATGGCACTAATATTTTAAATTTTACAGCAATAAATCTATTAAATTTGTAGTTTCACCTGCTTTAAGTTCAGAGTGTATCAAAAGTGTGTTAGTATTTACAATGCAGTCAGCACCAGAATTTTGTATCAGTACATCAATTGAATGTTGTTTGTATTTAAACTTCACTCATCAGAAAAATTGTAATCATATTTAAAATAATGTGGATGGCAATCTATAGCAAGTAGATCACAGTGGGCATGTGAACAGTGAGCTAGATAGAATATTATTCTAAATGGTCTTGTTAGCTCATAGCATGAACAAATGTGTAGGTACTCACATCTCAGTCTCAAAAAGGACTCGGATGTTTCAACATTGGTAGTACAGACTTTAATGTACTGGTAGAGTAGGAAGAAAATAAGACATTACTTTGAAACATTCCAGACAAGGCTCAGCTGATGTCACTCTGCACTTGTACCAGCTCCTTTGTGTCCCGATGCCTTTGGGCATTCAGACTTTGACACAATCTACATGGTGCTGAAGGGCAATCCAGGTGATGTTGGATGGCAATCCAGGTGATGCTGGATGGCAATCCAAACTCAGGGCAGACTGCCTACAATTACTTGCTATTTATCAGCTCACCAGTCATTGGATAATGCTGGACAACAATGGCTTGTGTACTGATTTGATGATTTATTTCTTAAACATTCAACAAGGTGCAAGTATCCATATTATATACAATACGGAGATAGGAATGAGCAGAATGCAGATGTATACCACAACATCAAGACACCTGCATCTATTGTCATCCAATGAGACATGATGTTAGGGCATCACATCAGTGCAATCTTTCCTCAAAATGCTCGAGAGTTGCAGCGGTCCAAATGTTAGTTGGATCCAGATCAATTAATGTCCCCATTGATCCCATCTGTCAGTGTGAATAAGAGAGTACAGTTGGTCTGATCAAGAAAACATCAGTATCCATATGTCTAGTTCTCTGAAACCATGACAGGTTAGTGTAGAAACAGTGCAGACTAAGAGGGAACCAATAACACAAAGGCAGATGACCAGCCTCTCGGCCAAGTGTCAATCTGAATGCACAATCAAAAGCGGGCCACAAGGTCACCACGAAGCTGGCAGACTGCGTACCCGAGCTTCTTCCACCTAAGTTAGGTCCAGGTACATAATCCAAATACCACGATCAGCATACTTGGCATTGATGGGGCTGCTCCTCGACCTATTCACGTGCGTCAGAACCTCAAATTACTAGGCCACATTGCCTTGCATACCTGCATCATGAACACGGTCAACACAAGTTCATCATCCACATCTGCAGAAACCTCTACTACTGAGTATGCATGCAAAGGGTCCATCCAGTTCTTCAACGACTCGGAACGATTGTATAGAAGTGGGCAAGGTAGAGTATCGTAATGGCAGGATCACAGTGGCATCGAGCCAAATAGGCGAAGATGAGAATATCTAAGCACCGTCAACACCAAGCAGACCCGGTATTACCCTTTCAGTAGAATCAAAGTCCTTTGCTAGGCCCCAAGCATCCGCAGTCTGGAGGAAGAGGGTTAGGATTTTGAACTGGGGATAAGAGAGAGATGGCATACTGTTAGTTGGTAGGTGCATTCTGTAATCACCCTTTCAACAAGATCTAAGTCCTCTGTCCGGTCTAGAGCATCCGCAGTCTGGAGGAAGAGAGTAAATACTTGCAACCCAGGACAACAGGATAACATACCATCTGTTGATCTGCACGATCCTCTTCCTCGAGATTCGCCACAATTACCCTTTCAATGGAATCTAAGTCCCCCACCTGGTCTAGAGCATCTGTAGTCTGGAGGAAGATGATAAGAAAGTGAGGACTTTAGACTTGGGATGACAGAGATAGGTTATCCTCTTGATGACCCCTGTCATCTGGGGCCAGATTCTCCCTGCCTACCATGCCTTCAGCGCCAGCACGCTGAGTGTCAGCAACCAATGCAGGCAAATGAGCCAACTACATTGTATCAGTATGAGTGTCGGAGGAAAATACAGTGAAAATCTCTCGAACCATTTCATCGTGTTCTACTACCACTTGTACTGCTTGATCAGCAGCCAGAATGTGATCCTTTAATGTCGAGAGCTCCTCCACTCTCCCAAGTGAGTTAGTTTGATACCTGAAGAGCTTGCTCTGCCGGTGTAGTGGACTCTCTGCTTGGTGTTGGGAGAGGCAGCCCCTCTGAGCACTACGTGAATGGATCAGAGTGGTTGTTATCATGATACAGAGTGATGTGCCTGGACCGGCGTCATAGGTTGTTGTGGGTGTCAAGATGGGAATTGTACATGTCTGAGGCATCGGTGTCAGTCTCCAAGTCGTTGGTGGCCATCAATTGGTCTACCAGGCCAGCATTAGCCTTGGGCTCTCCACCATTGACTCCTGGACACATTTAGATAAAGCAGCCAACCAATTCAATGCCAACAATACTTACTGATAGTGTCACCACGTCTACAGCAGGACTGAGGCAAGAATCATCGGGGACATCAGAACTCTGACGGCCACGGAAGACATGCCTGAGGGCATAAACACCAAATTCCATGCTCTAGCTGGATCCCGCCATTCAAGATGCTGTTTTTCCCCTGATCTATGTATACTGGTCGATCAACTGGCATGTTGAAGTTAATGAAAATAGGTTACCCAGTTCGACATCACCCTTATATTAACTATGAGCATGCCACTCAGGGACACAGGATCGGCACAAGCCAATGAACCATCAAGGTAACACAGAATAAATTGCCCACATGCACAAAAGATACCACTAATATGTAAAATGAGGACATATTGGAAATTGAGAGAAAGCAAATTAAGCAGAGGCAGGAACTGGCAAGAGTCAACTTCAAGAATTGATGAATTCACAATGGCCCTGCAGGCATCTTCTCCTTTTTTTCTTAGTCTTTCTCAATCATTCAAATAGTAAGATGACACACCTTTTTACCAACGCCATGAAGACATGTGTGTGTGTGTGTGTGTGTGTGTGTGTGTGAGAGAGAGACAAACAAACACAAGACAGTGGTGGATCAGTGTTATAACGGTCAAGATCACCTCCGAATTACACTGAAAATACGATATTGTCTGTACATCAGCTGCAAGTACCGATCAAAGCGAGCCACGAGGTCACCACAAGCTGGCGGGCTGTGTACTCAAGCTTCTTCCTCAATCAAAAGTGAGCCATGAGGTCTCCACCTCGCTGGTGGGCTTTGTACTCAAGCTTCTTCCACCTAAGTTAGGTCCGGGCACAAATACCATGATCGTACTCAAATGGGTAAGCCAATACCGTAACCAACTAACCTGAGGATCATCATCCCCATCTCCAGGGCTATGAATCGAGCTCTTTTTATGTTGTCATCCAGCACAACAATACTCGAATGCACTTGAGGAGATGTCAGTAGCCAAGCATCCAGTGAACAAAAGAGCAAATTCTAGCAAGTGCAGCTGAGATGGCTGGGGTAGAAACGGCATGATGAGACCAAGTCAAGCATATTGGCGAGCTCACCTATAATTTCGCAAATGCCCGGGTCATAGTCAGTCTGTACAGTGGGAACCACTTTCATGATGCACGTGATGCTTAATGTCTTCGCGCTGACCAACCCTCCTCCCATCTCCACATCATCATCAGTGGTGGCTGGATTGGTGCTCGTATTACAGATGGACGTAAGCACCTCCTTGCTATCTTTCTACGAGTCGCTCGTTGAATTTGGCCTACACAGGATCTGCAGCAGGAGGTTGTAAAAATATTGCCATAATTTGGCTGAGCATGAATCGTGCGATCTTGTAGTTCTGGTCAATATGCATCACCAGTAAACCATGAGACGAGAGGATGACTTTTGAGTGATCATAAAAGTTCAACTACAGAAAATCCAGTGTCAATTGTCAAGCACATTGAGAAGGGGTGAAATGAATGACCTGAAGGACGTCATGACTCATCTTGAACACATTGACGTGTTTCATGCACAAATACTTCTGTATGAAATCCATCCCCTGGTGCGGTCATGGTCCTCGAAAGTTTACTCGTAGTCTCCGTACAGGCGGTCCATGATGTAGCGCTCAAAATGCTTGAGGTCCTCAGGAAACTTGGTCATATAACTAGATGGTTCGGTGGCGTCGAGAGGAGGTGTAGTCAAAGTGACTAGGACATGTGTCAAATCATGTATAAATCAAAGGTAGATCAGAGAGACATCGTGGGGATCCCAGAACAGCTAGCATTGTCAAATCCATTAAGCTTTGCTTGTGGAGATTCCAAGTGCAATCCTTACAGGTAAGATTCTCCTCGTCCTCATCAAGGCGGTGTGCACGCAAAGACCAACCTTTTTCTCCTTAGTCCCTCGAGGTGCATCGTTCTCTTCTTCTATATCTTGCAAGCCACGTGCAGTGCGCACATTTCATAAAGGTGAATTTGTGTCCTTCACTGCTTGCAGATTTCTGAACAGGGGGGACTCCTTGACTCTGTTTGTTGACATAACCAACGGCTGCCTGGCAGAAGTAAGCAGCGCAGAGATAGGACAGTCAGATTGAACAGCCTTCTGGAACTGCTGAGCGATGGTAGGCATAATTGGATGCTTCGCCTTGCCTTCTGGAGTTGACAGAACCGCTATAGTATGGAAAGCGGGAGTGATCAGCTTCGTAACAGCTTCGCTAAGCGTGTTTGTTTGGCTTTTACCTGTCAGACCCCCAACCACTGCTTGAGAGAGACTTAATAGTATTACTCACGATAGGTTTTGAACACTTCAGAAAACTCGCTAAAGCTTGAAAACAAGCACAGCCGCATGCGGCAAATTTGGAAGTCAGGCTCGGCACCATGGCTGAGTTCGAAATATGCCTGCTGTTCGCCAACAACGCCTCCGTCGTTCTGCACGACTTGGAGGCAACCCTCCAGTGTGCTCTAGAGCGATGGATCCTGAGCCGTCGACATCTCAAATACAACCACCTCCCCCCGATCCAAAACCCAAGCTGACGATTCAGTGGCAGAGTGATGACACTCTCACTGACGTCTTGGTCACCTGGCTCACCGAACACCCTCCCGACTGTCGTATCTTATTCTACTCTGATGGCAAGAAACCACCTCCCTCTCTGGATTCAAGTTCTTCTGCTCGTCCCTCGGGAAAGGACAAGTCTCAGATCTACTCTGTTATTGCTCAGGTCATCTTCGAACATCACGCAAAATATGGGCTGGAATATGCAAACAGTCAGAAGAAATTTCGTGACTCTGTCAACAACCGTATCACAAGGTATGTCATGTTTATATTTTTTGTACTATGCGCTGATAAGATCCTTAGTCTCAAAAACAAATATAAGCCCCTTAAGGCTAAATTCAGCGCAACCGGTGCTGGTGTAGTCCCTCTTGATGACGCCTCCGCTAAAAATCTACAAGGTGAGCATTCTTATTTATTTGTTTAGCGGTTTGACCGATTCAAATTTGTAGAAGAAGTCTGTCGCGAATTTCCATGGTACAAGGAACTCGACGCCATCTGGCACTCAAATCCCTCCTTTGCAGCAAAAACTACATCGTCCAAGCCTGGCGTTGACCATGCTGGTGACATGTATGCGCTAGTACGTCCGCGTGGCAGGGCTGGCCCCTCCGCACATACCAGGGGTGCTACCAGGGCTCAGCCCCCCTCTCATGTTCTGCCTCCTCATAGCCGCCCATTTACTGATTCACAAATTGATCCTCGTCTGCTAGCACCTGCTGCTCCCGCTGCTCTCGTTCCTTCGCCTGCTCCCGCTGCTCCCATTCCTTCGCCTGCTCCCGCTGCTCCCATTCCTTCGCCTGCTCCCGCTGCTCCCATTCCTTCACCTGCTCCCTTTCCTTCTGCTCCTCCCACTGCTCCCACTCCTGCTTTTCCTCATTTCCCTGCTCTTCCTATTCCTCCTGCTCCTCCTGCTCCTCCGGCACCTCCAAATGCCGACTTCGATACCACTATGGGCAATGTTCCTGATCTTGACGACGACGACGACGACGACGACGACGACGACGATGACGACTTATATTCCGCTGCTTTCCGTGTTGACAGGGTGAGGCGAACATTGGACGCCATTTTGCAAATTTTTTGATGGGGACACCGCAGATAGTACTAATGCAGGACTTGAAAGATGTTGGATGTCAGATGAACTTGCCGCTGTTGCATGAGGTGTATCCTGGTTGATGTATGCTGTCAGTCATGTAAGGTACCAATAGTCCATGTCGAAAACGAACATCGCGAGACTTGGACTCAGCTACTTCCTCACCATTTCGCCTTTGCTCAGCGGCAAGGAACTTTGTATGTGGAATAATGAGGTGAAGTTCGATCCCCTTGCCAGCGTTGAACTGCTGCTTCGTGTTCCTGGTCTTGAGGAAGTGGGATGCTATGGCATTGATGTCTTCTCCAGATGGACGGGGAAGAATCTCCTCGAAACTACTAACAAGACGCAAACGTGCCTCTTCAAATGTAAAAGTAAGACCCATGGACCACTTGATGAACATGGGAAGTAGGGTGAGGTACACCGAAATTTTAAGGTCATTGGCACCAATATGGTAAGGGATGTTGCTGATCGACTCGACTATATCCTATAGAAGATTCAGCGAAGTCGGTGAAGTTGAATTTGGAATTGTAGAGAGCAACACTTACAGATATTAGAGTTGGTTTTTTAGCCCGTGGAATCATCACTGCAAGGTATGCCTTGACGCATACCACTTCGGGAACACTCGAAGCATAGGCCTGTCGAGCAAGCCGGTCTCGCATCTCTTCATAAATTTTATGCGCATCTTGATAACCAGGCTTGAGTGGCAGAGTTCGAAGAAGGTCTGAGTACACAATAAACTGAGGGTCCCGACCATAAATAGATATGTTGGGCCCTAATGGATTTGCACGGCGGATGTCTGAGGGGCCAGGAGCTGCAGGCCAGTTGGGTAAAGGAACAAATTGATGATTTGCTGAGGCGCGCCTCGGGTGAACAGGACCTGGGATGAATGCAGGTGGAGGCATCCCACATGATACACTAAGCCCCACTGCACAAACAGGAAGTTGGGATTCTACAAAAATAAATGAAGGTTTGTATTCAATATAAAATGCAACTGTACTGGGCGACTCACTTCCACGCTGCGCCTCTGCAGTCTGCTTGTGAACTGCAGCACCATCATATTCAGACTGGCCGAAACCATGCTTCGAGGTATTTGGAATTACTAAAGAAAATTATTGTCAGACTGTAATGTGACAAAGTCTGCACACCAAGCAATTATTTTACCTGCATCACTTATTTTCTTGGTAGTGAACTTGGAGCGCTGGTATCGGCTGCATTTTTCACAAAGCCATTTACCGGGCTTGCTTGGATCTTTGTGCTCAATATAGGTGATAGCAGGTACAGTGCCAGGATGACCGCTAAAACAGTTGGCATACTCACAATAGTGCTGGTCAGCATTTGTGGTGAACTCTGCAGCATACATGATGATGGTGGATTTTTGGGGGGTTTGGATTTAAATTTCTGAACCGTCAGATTCAAATATTAGTGCTACTAGAGGCTCGTCGAAGCAAGCAAGGGCCTTTGATATCACCATTTGATGCAAGTCTATGTGCGAGTGATGATTTCTCATGTCAAATTTGCAAGGCAAGAGATCTTAGGCACCACGTCAATACAATGTCTTAACCTCATTCTGTACGCACAGCCACATTTATGAGTGTAGTCGGTAAATCCTTCATCGCGTTCAGTGGGTGATTGGGGGTCTGGCAGGAGAAGAGCCAAACAAATGCCTTTTTAGTCCAGCTGATCACTCTCGCCGAAGCTGATCACTCCCGCTTTCCATACTATAGTTGAAATATGGTCATCGTCCAACCCCAGGGGGCGCATCAAGTGCAGAGACGGGAATAAATGGTGGGACAATGCTGAGGCCAATGAAGGGTGACTTGAGGATTGCAAAGAGAGTAGGACATTTTGAGGGGTCTAAAATAGACTGATAGTCCTTAGTATCTGATGCAATGTGGCGTTCAGGCGAGAACTCGTAGAGGTTGTCAGGATCCGTCTGCACGAATGGTTAATTAGAAATCAGGATGCAGGAACGGTATGCCTTATGTATAAATCTCCTTAACCTCTGATAACAACAATAACAAGACACTGATAGACCAAGTGCCAGCCTCAAAGCTGTGCCCATTCACATTCGACAGGACCTCTGAGCTCTTTCTTCCCATCAACATGATCTTCCTGCAATGTGTCTATATCCAGGAAACCCACTCATTCCTGCAATCTAGCGCTTGGTCCTTCTGGGAGATCACCTGCACCCTCCTCGCCAAGGATAGGATCTTGGTGGAATTAATGAATTCCTCAAGACCATATATCTTGCTAACTGCCCATGCTGCATAATCTAGTTGTTTGTAAAATTTGATTATTTTGGACCCTCATGAAAGATGGAAACTGGGACCTGTCACTGATAATTTGTCTTCCGTCTAGAGGCCTGAGGGTATCATGACCCATTCTGTCTCAGACAAATTGATTGAACACGGTGCAAGTCACCAGACATGCTCCCCAATGTACTGCTGTGATCACAGTGTATTTCCCGACAGAGAATGATGCCTGAGGAGATGTAAGACATTGAAGTGGACGTCCTGGAATTCGAATGGTTGTGGACGTGCAACTTGAACAGTCACGTGGACCGCCATCTGACCTTTGCTTATGTGAGCGTTCATTCATTACATCATCAGCGGTGGGATCAACGAAGAACAATAGTTTAACTCTCGACACATCATTCAATTCCAGCTTTGCAAGACTCTGGTAACCAGGTAATCTGTTCAAACTTTTCTTCTATCCCTTCTTCAGATCAGAGCTTTGCGCAAGTCACTGCAAATCCTGGTGAGAAGTTACTTATTACTATAGTGCATTTTCCAACTTGTTGTTTCTGGATGTGTTTAACGCAATCGCATTTGATAGAACACTTTGATGTATGTTGTAAGCCCACGCGAGAGGATGTGGAAGTCTGGTGAGTGTGCTACAATGTGCGCTGCCTGATATAGCTCACGAGGAATCTGAAGACAAGCATGAGGTGATTCAATTCATGTGAAATGGGGGCATGTCAAGCACTGATCTACTACATTTCGTGGTGCACTCCACACCTCTGTTTCCGAGGCTGCAGAGCCAACATGCGAGATTCTCCGAGGATTTCGAAAGTGAGTGCTTGTATGCAGTCTTGGCTGACGCATGCATACTTAGCTGGACTTTCAGCCCTGACAACAAACACCCCACGGGTTCTGGGCGACACCAGTGTTCAAAACTTACAGGACCTCACACACATCGTCAATCTATCATATGCTTCAAGCTTGAACTCTTCAAGACACCTTCGGTTGCATGCCATGAGATAAGTCGTGTTATTGCAAGATGTGGAGGTTCCGTGTCTTTACATATATCTCCCCCCATGATCCCACTCCAGGCACTGCGCAGGTATCATCAAGGTCTCCACAGATATGTCAATATCTCTTGACCCAACACTCCATTCTTATATTGTATAAAGCCATTTTATTTCTCCAATTTACAAGCTGCCACTCACACAGTCCAAGAAAAAACTGTCTAAAAATAAAACATTGTCAGAGATTCAATTTACCCACCATGGCTGTGTTTGGCATTGTTAAGTATAACTCAACAAAGCGACCATAGTGGGCTCTGCTGTGAGTGGCCTTAATAAATATTCGAGGTCGTTGCTTGAAAATTGAATTCAATCTGTATACAACTCACTATGGGACAAGGAGGCCGTAGCAAAGACAGTCAAGAAAAGCGGTACAAGAGATGGGGAGATAAGAAGGATAAGAAGAAAGCTGAGGCAGCTATTCAAAAGGGTCTGCATAAGGTGGTTTATATTAAACTCTGGAACATTCATTTACGGGATCCATTGTTTTTTATTTTTAGACATCCACAAAATCAAGGAAATCCCCTCCGATTTCCTCTCTATCAAGTGGTGCGGTCGGACCGTGCAGAAGATTGTGCAATCCAAGTACCGTGCTACCAGTACACCTGAGCAACTTGAGATGCTTCCATTGAACGGAAAAATTCTCCTTCCCTTAGATCATCTTCCTTCTGCCTCCATTCCTGCTGATATACCCCCATATCTTCTGATGCACTTTGAGCACTTTCTCACATCCGACCAGCAAAAGGGTCTCCAGGTTCGTTGGGATCACTTAGTGGCTAGTGGTGCCGAACATCTCCTCAAGAAGGACAAAAATCGCTCATCCACAGACACATTTCATTTTGGGACCTGGGAGGTCACTGGATCTGTTCCTTGTGTCACCCGGGAGACTGAGGCACAGTCTCCCAAGGCTATCCTGGCAATTGATGACCTTTTGCATTTTATCAAAACGTACATTGCTCCAAAAATTGCCTCTGTGTTCAAGGATCACGCTCCAATCCAATGGGAAGCAATCTTATGGTGCATCTTCGTTCTTATAACGGTTGTGCCTGACTGATCCATCCAACTACTCAAGAGCCAATGCTTGTGTGCAGGAGGAACTCAGAGATAAATACCATTCACGTCCCAGTCTCAATATGGGAGGGCCTTTTTTCACCATTGCTGTGAAAGAGTCAGGGTCAGGCATTGTCCACGTTGATTGGAATGATGATAAAGCACTTTATGCTTTTGTTTTCGCAGTAGGTGACTGGGAGAGGGCGAATTCTGTGTGCCACAACTGGGCATCAAAATACCAGTATGTCCTGGTCAGGTCATAGCAGTCCTTGCTCAGGTCCTTGCTCATTTTAGTGCCCCTGTTACAGGTCACAGAATTGTTTTCATGTGTTTCACAGACCACTTGCTTTTCCAACATGGTATTACAAGTAGCCCAGTTATTGTCCTGGGATAGCTACAATGTATTGCTAAGATTGAATTAAACCTTTACCCAAGTTTAACCAAGTCGAGTGGACGTTACGAGAGTCACAGTTGTTTAAATGTTAGTTGGGTCTGAATCTATCAATGCATCTGTTGATCTATCAGTACACCAGGGATACTCGGTGCAGAGGGTTTGTGGGGTGCGAGCCAAAAAGCTTCTAGGCTCATTTATGGATCAGATAGTACTGGGTCAATTGAAAAACGGGAACAGTCCACCGCCGCTTCGCACAGAGGAGAACATGTGCAACCTGAAAGGCCATTTGAATTCCAGATTAGCCACAGACGTCACATTAATGCAACTTTAAGTCACCAAGCAGCTCCAGTGGCCTTCTTGAATATCCATGACGCATGCTTTGGAGCTAGCCAGCCTTCCATGATCTCAATCCATCTTGATGGTAGGCTCATCAGTGGTTGGCATGAGACGAGCCACTCAGTACAAATATTGCCTTGATGTCAAGTCACAATGTGCGAGGGGTTTCAAAATTCAAATATAAGAATCAGAGTCACATAAACATTCAGGACATGGAGCCACAGAAGTCAAGGTATTCATTTGCCAATTGGCTTTGCTTTTTTTAACATATGACTGTCGCATCTCCACAAAGAACTCATGTGTGACATCAGCAACAAGCGCATAACCTCAAGGATTACGACCACACTCCTCTTCAATGCAAGAAAGTGGTTGGACCTCTATCAACGCTGGAGATCTCTGAGCCAGGAGCACCGAGCTGGAAAGTCTTCGGATCCAATAGGGAAATACGTGGGAATACATCGTATGTTTATGCCTTATTAGATTTTCACAAGTTGCGTGACACCTTCCAGGAGATTGAGCGGTCATTCAGCTGCCAAAGCCCAGACTGGCTCCAGAGTCTACACAGAGTAGCCTCCCAGACATTCTCCTCATGGGAGACAGTCATCCTCATGCCACCCCATGCACTGCCCATCCGAGTCGAAAAGTTATTGGATTGGTGCATATAGCCATCCTGTGACAACACCGAGCATGGTATGTATCTAATGTTACATAGCTGTATTTATTTCTCATCCATGGACCCTCACTCGGTGTAGGCAAGTCTCATCTGCACCCCAATTTCCTTGTATCTCAATCACAATCAAACCAAAATCAAAACCCAACTGAAGAACATTTCGCCAACAGGATAGGTTTGGATAGGTGAGTCATGGAATGGGCTATATTCCACATGTGCAAGCTTGATGAAAGACCCAGTAGGGTTCTGCTTTTGAGATGCCTCAATGACCTCTTGAGGAGGCTGATCATCCTTGTTCTGATCAACTGATGGGTAATGCTGAAGATTGTTGACCTGCTCAAGGAGACCCTAAACATCTATTGCACAATGACGCGCCCATTGTGGATGTTATTACACCATTGCTCAAGATATGCTCGCCTGTCACAACGCTTAAGGAAGAAATCACGCCAATCACATCATCACCATCACTGCAATCGCCGCTCACATCATCAGAGGTCAGGGATGACCCTAAACATCTATTGCGTCTTAGCAGGAGCCTTCTACCACATCAGAGGCTCAAGTCACACCTTGCATCAACCAGAGTTTGCCTCTGGTAATTCCACATGTCACTATTGATCATGCGCACATCGCGCTTTTTACATCTAGTGACTATCGCTTGCCAGTAAAGCATCCATGCATCACGGCACCTGACCACCAAGCAGAGCATGTCTCAGGCGACCCTGGGGTGACTCAGGCGCACCATATTGCGCCTGAGGACATGCAATGCGCGCGCCTAGAGGCATTGTATATTTACCCTCGTCTCATTTCGCGTTTTTTGTCTCTTTCATGTTTAAAGCTCTTAAGGAGCTACATATATGAGGTGCAGCTTTCCCGCGCAATGCGCGCACACTTCTCATGCTTCACGATGTATATGTGCGCGCGCTTTCCCGCGCTTGATCGCCCTATAGTGCCAGCCATCCAGAAGCATCCATCCACTGTCCACCAAGCTCTCTAGTGCGTGTATTTCCGTTTCCCTTATTTGCATATCATTCCACCTTATTTTTATCATGGACCCTTACTTATATATATCTTTACATACTAGACCTTACTCGGTAGCGCTTCGGTAGCGCTTCGGCTCCACATGACAGTGCTTAGGTACCGTATTCAAGCGCCAGCAGTAGATACCAACTTTTCACCTTACTTGACCTCTCACTTTACCTACTACTTACTACCTAGAAAGTTGCAGTAGAAATCTATTCCTTTACATCTTGCACTCTCATATCCCTTATCTTGCATCATATTATCACTTAAGCTTATTCTCTCTCATTTCCGCATACCTGCATGCACTTTCCTGCACTTCGCACAGCACACATGCGCATTCCCGCACCTTCATGGCTTGCGTGCACCTGCGCTTTCTCGCGCTTCACTTCAGCACCTACTTCTAGATCCTTGCTGCACTCGCTTCCCCTTTAGGGTCGAACGCACTTGTCGTCTCAAGTATAGCAGACTAGGCAACGCGTGACCTACAACACTTATAGATACAGTCTGGAGCCTCGTTCGCACCTCGCTGTATTGTTATTTCTACAATGAGACATTAGTGAAAGTACCAAGATATCAAAATATAGTAGCTAATGCTTCACCATCATCTTGACTGGAATCCAACAAACCAAACAGCTTTCCTCCTGGACCATTTTTGCCAAAGGTGAAGCCAAAAGGTACCAAGACACCTTGAGCTTCTGGCTCTTTCTTTTCCTTTACCTTCTTTGCTTGTCAATGCTATAAGCCTTGAAGATGAGGAAGTGATGACCATCAACCCAGCACTCTCCTGGGTTTCTTGTATACTCCCCAATGAAGCATATTCTGTCCATGGACCTCACTGAATCTGTAATCATTTTCACAAGGGCATTCTTTTTGGAGACACTCTCACTGCCTTCCATTTAACTTCAACACCAGATCTTAAGTCCCTGTCACCCATCAATATTCTCACCAAATATGCACTCATTAATTCTGATCACACAGTCTCCCAGTTCATCCAGCATTCTTCCCTCTCCAGTGGCAAGAACACTTGCCGGGACCACAGACATAAACACTTTTACATGTGGAACAAATGTCAATTGCAACTTCACTCTACCTTCCAATCTAAGTGATTATGCCAAGCAGAGTGATCCAATTATACCCTCCCAGTGACCTATTTCCCCTTGGAAACTGTGATATTGTCCTTGTCAATGTTACAAGTGATGACGGCCAAATCAGTATGCATATTTTTTGCTGTCATATTCTAACACTAATGAGGTGATATTCAGCAAGTCGTGTCGTCCAAGTTTGACTTATTTTTTAGCCCAAGGTTCCATATGCTTCCAATCTGATTCTTCCAACATATCTTTCCAGTCCGCTCCTCTACATATAATATTTTGACTTTGTCACCAATCCCAATGACCATCCCAAACTCATGATGTGGACAGTAGAGCGGTCATATGTGGTGGACCAGCATGGCAAACACTATAGGTGTGGTAGTGTAGTATTATTGACAAATGTTACACATGCTGTCAAACTGATACCAGAATATGGTGAGAAGGTCAAGAAGGACATTTCTGTGATGACATGTTTGGAGTCCTATGACTGGTTTTTTCTGAATAACTTTGCAGATAAAGAAAGTTATCATATGTTTAGTACAGAGTTCACATAGTATTGATTGTTAATAGTATTTAGTAGCACAGATTTGAATGCATGCCAATTGATTGCTGTGATTCTGAACTTTTTGAATGGCCCAATGATTATTACAAATGACCCTACTCAGTGTTTGGAAATGCAATTCCCGAATCCTAGACTAGTATTTCAACTCAATCTCAATATGATATCATATAATGCAATACATACACCCATTTAAATATTATACCACTATCAATAGTGGTACTCAAAATAGGTTTTGGAAGGTTTTGAAACTCAGTTAAATGCCAACTAAACACTTCAAACTCATGGCTAGAAACCTCGGTTGATTCAAGGTCAGGCCAGCATCATACATCAGACTTCAAAACAACTATGCCTCCTGCCCATTGTGAATGTATTTAATGTTCTGCATGCTTCAAATCTAACACTCCATTGCACTTGAGGGCAATAAACAATGCATCAACCTCTTGAGGACAGCCCAAAGAATCATCTGGACCATTACTAGCTATTCAGTGACAAAGCAACTGCACTCTTACTGATACATTGGTAAATTATCTGACCACTCAAGCTGCTGATTGTAAGGTCCTATTTTACTCTGATAGGAAAAAAACAATGGCTGCTGTCAACAACCATCCATCGGATATTGCCAAGCTCTTATTTGCAGGCCACCCTAAGAACTTATTAGGTGAGTCCCTGGTCCCAATTTTTCTAGTTCTCAATTGATTGCACCTCATGCTGGGAGATCCAGAGTATGCACTCTGATGTCATGTCCCACCATGACAATAAGCACAAGTGCTTCCGCATGAAGCTCAACATGAAGGAGCACAATTGTGACGTCAAGAAGTACAAGTGACTTCACACTAATCACAAGCATGAGGCCTCTTAAGCCACTGTAAGCCATCAGCGGCTGCAGGAGACCAAAGACACTGAAATTCACCTTCACAAGAGATATCCAAGTCCATGAAGCACATTCATTGGTGCTTGAGAAAGAGGCAGAGACTCTTTGACTCAAAATCTAATACCACCAAATGATGCAGGCCAGAAAGGCCTCAGCATCGGATGGAGGAGCTGAATGAGTCTTTTTTTCATTGTGTTGTTGTGTCTCTGTGTTATCATCTTTGTCATGTTGCCATCTCCATCTAATCATCATGGTCTCTGTTGTTGTTTTCTTGTCGTCATTGTCTCATTATTGTCTCGTCATTGTTGTCTTGTTGTTATTGTTGTTATTGTTGTCATCACTGTCATTGTCATTGTTATCTCATTATCTTCATCATCATCTCGTCGTCAGCATCAGCATTGTTATCACATTATCACATTATCATCTCATTGTTACTCATCTATCTGTTCTCACTATGTCATTTGTTGCTATATGTTTGTTGACATTTTTATGTTTTGTTTCCATTGTATGCACATGCTTTTTATTTTGTAATTGTTGGTACTTTCTTGATTGATGTTTACATAGTTACATATATTTGTTGTACAGGTGTTTAAGTGGTAGTACATGTCCAATCAAACATTGTGGTAAATCATCCTTCCCTATGGTGTGCATCTGAGTAAGGACTATTAAAGAGTGCATTAATCAGCCTTGCACGAGCAGCTTGACCTGGAGTGCCCTCATAAGTCCTGTCTTCAACAACTTCTTCACCATCTGGACCCTCAACTTCTTGATTAATGAAATCTTTCCCCTCTGCATGAGCCCACTTTAGAGAACTCTCATATGTTCCATCCCTCTTGTAATACTCAATTTCAAAGTGAATGATCATGTTGTGTAGGATAATGCAGTACTTGATCCACTGCAGTGAACTCAAGGTCTTTCTCAGCCTGGATCCTGAACCAGAGTTCTCCCTAGTATCTACCAACCAACATTAAGTATCTAAGTATAATATGAGCGCCCGCTGCTGTACATTACTAGAAACTCTGTCAATTTGTTTTCCGGCTCATTAAGAGTCGCTCAGCTCCACCACCTGCACATGTGCATTGCCTCTGCTCAGTGCGCACTACCATTATAGTCACTCATTGTCGCTTGTCATTGCTCATTTGCACTTTGTGTCGCTTTCGCTTGCTTGCGCTTTGCTCATTGTCGCACACCTTACCGGGCTTGGTCAAGCCTGGTAAGGTGTGCGACAATGAGCAAAGCGCAAGCAAGCGAAAGCGACACAAAGTGCAAATGAGCAATGACAAGCGACAATGAGTGACTATAATGGTAGTGCGCACTGAGCAGAGGCAATGCACATGTGCAGGTGGTGGAGCTGAGCGACTCTTAATGAGCCGGAAAACAAATTGACAGAGTTTCTAGTAATGTACAGCAGCGGGCGCTCATATTATACTTAGATACTTAATGTTGGTTGGTAGATACTAGGGAGAACTTAGACTTAGAGTCCAACGATGTGTGGGCAGAAGATAATCATTATACAGTTTAGGCGTGAGTATATACAGTGGCTCAAAAAGTGTCTCAATATTTGTTGGTTTTCATGTAATTGCTTTCTTATGAGTCAGGGTGTGGGAATCTGACTATGCTATAGGGAGGTGTCAGAAAGGTCCACCTCCCAGCTATATTCATGTTCCCTATAGCGTGGGAGGCTGACACTACCGTGTGAAGATATAGACATTTTGGTTTGATGACTCATTGAGACAATATACTCCCTAGTGAAAACTGCCATATCAGGCCATGAGAGGCATGAGTCTCTACACCGGCATGGTAATATTTAGCAGATAAGCCATAGTTGTTTTGCAGTTGCTCAGCAAGTTCATCACACTCCGACTTCAAGAAGCTATACACAATGCTAGTATGGGTAGCATACTGTGACTTGATGAAACCAGTGATAGCTTGAACCACCTTTTTCATGGACAGTTTAGGCTGTACTGCGGCATAGTACAGGTTGGGGCAGTTGAAAGACTGCATCAGGCATAAGGAATTGGAGCATAGGGTTGATCCCTCAAGAAGGGAAGTGTAGAAGGTGTAGGGGGTAGTGAGGAACCAGTGGCTTGGTGGTAAAAATGAGCTGCTGTCGGTCATGTGTGGGACCGGCACTAGAATAGATTTCCTATAAGATAAGGGTGAATATGTTAGCTGGAACTTACAGGAGGCACAAAAAGTACTTATCTTGGGTTGATAACACCTGAAAATTTGATGTCCTGCTCAGTGCTGTGTATGAGCATTGAGGCTGAAGGGTGAGGTCGATGATGACATCATCATGCTCACTGTGAGACAAAACTTCAGAACTTTCCGAAATTTCAAACTCTGCCACAAACTATGTCACATATACACAAATGGATAGGAGTTTTGATTCCCTCGACTCCTGCCCCAATTGTGACCAACCATCCATCCATAAAGAACTCCTGGCCATTGTAGATCAAACTGAAATTTCCCTGGTCAAGCTACAGTACCAGGATGTCCTGGATGATTGGTCTGACTTTGAGAGCGATTCTGACTCTAAGGATTCCCTTTCCACTACTTCAGATGATGATAATTCAATCAATCAATCTTTTAGTTCACCTTCCCCCCCCCTCCCCCCTCTCCTCTATGACAGGGACTTCAGATTCTTCCAGTGATGGTTCTATATCCTCTGATGACATTGCTGTACCTTACAACTGCCTCCATGACACCATTAATGCTCTTTGTGATGAGGTTAAGAGAGCTTGTGTACTCTATAAGCCCGATGAGCCTCCTCTACAAGCACCTCAGCTTGACATGTTGGTTCATCACGAAGAACACCGCCCTCACTTGTTTCAGCAAAAACACTGTGTTGACCCCAAGATCTTCAATGACATCCTTGATTTTATCTCTGATCATCCCATCTTCCAAAATCAGTCCAACAATCCTCTCCAACAATCCTCAGCTCCCTGTCTCCATTCAACTTGCCATTTTTGAATCAAGCAGGCCACTATGGAAATGCTATTACTCTTGAAGATGTCGCTCAATGGGTAGGCATGAGTGTTGGGTCTGTAGTTAATTGCACTAATTGTATGATGATTGCGGTGCTTGATGCTTATGATCAGTTTATCTGCTTTCCAGCAGATAATTCTGAGGATGCTGATCTGGCTCACAAATTTGCCAAGTTGTATACCTGCCTAGAGTGGAAGAGTGGCTTTCTAGCAATTAATGGCTCAACTATGAATCTTTTTTTACCAAACTTGGTTACTTTGGTGAGACATTTTATGATAGGAAATCCAAATATTCCCTTGGCTGCCAGGTATTTTTGTTTCAACTATTTGTATGTGAAAATAAATTTAATTCTAGGCAGTCATTTTACCACATAATCTTCTCGTAGTTAATTATTCTCTGGATCATCCTAGGAGTGTCCACAATGCATTTGCTTTTTGATCCACTTGTTTTTATCAAGAGCATGCTAACCTTCTACCTGATGGTCATTGGGTTTAGGCAGACAGTGCATACCCATTAGAGCCATGGTATATTGCTCCTTTTAAGAAGCCTTGCAATGGGAGGTTGACAAAGAACCAGAAGTCCTTTAATTATCATCTCTCTAAGGTATTTTTTTTCAAGGTTTATTGAATTTTTTCAGATCCATGTTCATGTTAAATATACATTCACTGTTTTGAAGGGATGGTTCCAGTCCCTTTGAGAACTTAGACTTAGAGTCCAACGATGTGTGGGCAGAAGATAATCATTATACAGTTTAGGCGTGAGTATATATATATACTAAGTAATGTTAAGCGCTGTCAAGCGCTAAAGTGAACTGAGAAGTGAAGCGGATATGAGATAATATGTAATATAAGGGTCCATGACAAAAACATATGGAATATGGCCATAAGCCCTGGAGATATGTCAGAATAAATGGAAATAGGATGGAAATACACACTGACAAACTGAACAGACATGGAATGGATGGATGGAGGACAAGTGACAGAACTGAGAATGTGCAACCGGAGCACTCGTGCATGCAAGCAACCAACAAAGCACTAAGTGCACTGAGGTGAGATATGAGTCACGCTATATTAGGAAGTGATTGAGACATTGGGAATTTAGATCCCTGCAAGCCCACAGAGATATTAGTCTCT